ATGCCCGATGTTATAGGACCGAGAGGGAGCCGACATAAGTGACAACATGTTACACAACGGTGTTCAAGTTTTGAAACGTTTTTATGTCTACATTTAGAGAATATCTCATTCAAGATTCAGCAGCTCATCTCGATTTTTTATCTTTGATAATGAAGATTTTTTTCCGCCATGCATAGATCACACCGATCGCAGAAGTTATTAGGTGTTCTGGCTCTAGATAGGAATCTCCATTTCAAAATTGGGTTTAATCCTGTATCCACCAGTTCCCAGTAGTGTTTGGATAAGGAAGTCTGTCTACTGAGGCATCTATATCTAAATGAGCGTCTATGGTTGTATAGACGCTGCTTCCAATCACCGGGCGGATATACCTATGTATCTTTTTTCTCGTTTATATTTCCCTCGGGAAAGATAGTTGCCTCAGATACTACATTTTCAGATTTGCATTTACCCCGATTGGACAATGGTCTTTATTCCTACAATTGCAGGTAGGGTTACTAGATTGAGTTCCATTACCGTGGTAGTTTCTAAGTATTCTGCAATTATGGGAAGATATGATTTTTCTATATTTCTAACGCATGAGTAACTAATTTTTAGAGTTTTCCTATTGAAAATTTTTACGTAGTGGATGCTTACTGTGGAAATGTTTATCAATTAATTTCAGAAAGAAACTTCCTATATCAATGTTAGAGAGTCTGCAATATGGTGGGTTGAACCATATTACCTTCCTTTTCCTGTTCTTAGTTTTGCCCTTATTCTGATTTACAAGTTCACCATTAAAGCTTAATTCTTGTCTAAAACCACTATTTTTTAAGGCCTGATTGTATATAAATTTATTATCATTAAATATTTTCTGGCTAGAAGATAGCTTATTTATTCTCATATTCACAGTTTTGGGGATGTGATCTATCACATGTTTAGGGTGGTTAGAGTGGACGTTGATGTATAGGGGTGTTTGATCAACTTTATGGAAGGGTTTAAAGGTATTATTCGATAGATTGAGTGTACCCACATCTCCAAAAATTCTCTCTGTTAAGGTTTCATGTCACTCCTCCTCATACTTACACTTTCTCTAAATTCTGTTTTGATTTCCGGAGTTGTTTTTTTTCTGTTTTCATTTTGAATTTGTAGGTCTGATGATTTGGATCGTATTTACAGATTCCAATGGAAATTATGACCATGGAATATTAGTGTTTAAGCCTTTTTTATATATATATATATATATATATATATATATATATATATATATATATACACACACACAATATGAATAAAGACCAAAGGAAAACTTATCTTAGTCAATGTGTTTCATCCTCTGATGGAGGAAAATGTAGGGATAAGGTCCATCAGAGGATGAAATGTGTTGGCTAAGATAAGTTTTCCTTTGTTCTTTATCCATATTGTATTTTTACATAAATATTTTTAGTTACATCTGAATGTGTGTGTGTGTGTGTGTGTGAAATAGTATCCAAAACAAAACCAGAGATAATGAAAAAAAACAAAAAGCCTTTTAAATGTGACATCTCATGTTCAGCTTCTTCAGGTTAGAATGAAAATCAAGACTGTAAGGAAAATGCGTATGTGTGTGTGAGTACTCAAGTAAGTGTTGAAAATTTCACTGCCTGACCCACTTCCCAAAATATAACCAATACGGTTATGACTTCTTTTTTTTTTTTAAATCCTGTGTTCTGATGTTATAAATCTATGAATTTTGTTCAAAAGTAATGAAAAAGCATTAATTTGTTTTAGTTCTTGAAAAAGGTCACCCCCAAAGTGAAAATTCGATTTTACCATATACATAATAAGAGTAAAAAAAAACAGCAAAAAACAAAATATTTCAAAAGCTTTATTTTTCAATTTGCTAATGATGTAATTAGATAGTACTTATGTATTTTTCAACACATTTAACATTTTATAGCAATAGCATAACACAGAAACTTACAAATAAACAAATTCTTGATGGTTCTGGAATATCCTAAAAGGCTCCAGAAAATTCATAGTACAACTATATTTATATACGATTTTAGATATTTTGTGTTAGGGTGACATTTCTTTTAATAATAAACTGAATTAAACCTTTCTTCATAATGAAGAAAGGTTTAATTCAGGTTTTGAACAAAAGTTCATTGAATTGATACAGGAAATCAATTATTTTACAAGAAGTCATAACCCTAATAACCAAATATTGGAAGTTTTTTTTTAAAAACCCTTTTGTGATCAGGCTGAGAAATAATGTCTATATGTTTACTTCTGTGTCCTTATATAAAAAAATTATGACAGTACCTTTTTAAATCTAACTCTAAAGAATTCAGTTCACAATTGGGTACAATGAAAGATGCTATTTTTTCAGTTAACATTGTCTGAATTGTTTTGTAGGTGTCCTTTTTTTAAAGCTGATGAGCAAATTTTTGATTGCTAAACTTCCTGGATTTTGAATAAGAAATTCTTAACTAATCATCTAAACTTAAGTACATTTAGTTAGGGTTTATATCATTCTACTTACTGGTAAAACAAGGAGAACTGCACTGGGGACCAGCTCCAGGGACAACAAGGTTGATGACATGTCTTGGAAAGTGAAAGTCCTTTTTGGAAACACTGTGTACAGCTGCACATCACTGCAACCCAAATGCTGAAAAGAGAGATAAAAAGAATATTATATATATGCGCAGATAATTGCAAAGTTAATGGAAAAAAAAATCTAAATAAGAAATCATAATATGAAAATCCTCTCTCAAAAAAAAAAAAAAAAGAAGAGATTTAAAAAGTTATCTCCCTTCACTAGTGCAGTATGTACCACTTTTTCTATTATACAGAAGAAATATTTTATAATAGCAATTCCCATTTGTAATCAATAGGTATATGGTTATTTTTTTCTTATTAATAGGCAGATAGGAAAAATCTTTTTAAAAAAAAGAAAAAAAAAAAAGAAAAGAAAATATTCACGGAAGAATTTTTCCCACAAAATATATTTTATACTTATTAGAAACTTACTGAGGCTAATATATATAAATAAAATGACTAAGCAGAGATAAGTAAACATTATTTATTTATTGCAGTAATAGTTTTTCTCAATATTGAAGACAGTAATTATAAGGACTGTTTACTTAAAAAAAAAAATAAATTAAATGAACCTTTTTGTAATCGTTTGGTCGACTCAACAGCAGATATATATATATATATATATATATATATATATATATATACACACACACACACACACACATACATACATACATACATACAAGACATTCTTATGTTTATACATTCTTTTTATAGATACAAATATTTAAGTAAATGCTCTGTTTATAATAAACAGCATTAAACAACATTTACCGGCCTGAATGTTCGAGAAATTTTCACAGAAAATATTCGTCCTCCGACAGGATTCGAACCTGTATCCTATACGGTACCATCATTTAGCTTGACATGCCCTTACCGATTTGGCCACAGAGGAGCGTTCAGTTAGCAAAGTCGAATTTACTTTATTTACACTTCAATTTTCTATGAAAAGTTTGAATACACCTTGCTAACCGAACGCTCCTCTGTGGCCAAATCAGTAAAGGCAAGTCAAACTAAATGACGGTTCCGTACAGGATACAGGTTCGAATCCAGTCGGAGGACACATATTTTCTATGAAAATTTCTCGAACATTCAGGCCGGTAAATGTTGTTTAACATTGTTTATTATGAACAGAGCATTTACTTAAATATTTGTATCTATAAAAAAGAAAGTATAAACATAAAAATGTCTTAAAATAATTGTCGGATTTTGTTTTCATAATTTATATATATATATATATATATATATATATATATATATATATATATCCCTCGACTGTTGCCAAATCAGTTGGGGTTTCGATCCTGGCTTGAAGCAGTCGGATGTCTCAACACACTGATGACCTCTGATACAGTGAAACAGTCTGTTTGTGAATGACATATAAGGCAAATGAATGACAAACTGGGGAAAAAAAATTCTGTGTATCACATTTTGTCCTCTAGAAGAACTTCAAGAGACTAAAGTAGTTTTTGTTGATGGAATTATATAATGGGAGAAGATATAAAAATGTGGTTTCTGTTATAATAAAATACAGAAAGGAAAGGCTGAAATTTAAAATTTTTATATTAAAATTTTTTTTTCTCCAGACCTGTCTGGACATACAGCAGAAATAAATAAATCATCAAACTGAAATTATTGAATGGATAGTTTCTTTAAAAAGGATCTTACAAGAAGACATTAGAGGATGGAAAAAACCCAAAAAATGCCATCTTGAATGAGTCAATGATTCTCCAAACACTTCCAATGTGCGTTTAAGTTCTCTATGTCTACACAGTCACACTGTGTATATTAATCACAACAGCTTCTAGGATAATCAAATGGTGTTTTGTCCAGGCTCTGTGCAGAGCAAAGAATTCTTCTGAATAGTTGTTCCTACAAGTATCCATATTTAACTGATGTTTGCCAATGGAAAACTTGTGTGTCTGTGAGTGCGTGGATGTTAATGGCATATGCCTATGGATAGGACCCAGTACATGTTGAGCAATTCTCACCTCCAACCATTGAATGGTTTTGCCCACATAGTCAACATTGTACTGACATTTATAACAATAAATAAATAAATTTTGTTGAACGGTAGACAAAATGTCTTTATGGATGGAGGGAAACACACTTTTGGTAGAAAAGATGGTACATACTACAATAATTCAGTCACTTATGTGCTATACATGATACATGCTTAGGCGATCATGTATCTTTCGATACATGACTGACAAGGCAGATTTTTTCCTACAGTAGGTTGCCATTTCTTTCTGCGATAGACCAGTTGCCATTCAAGGCTATAGAACCCTGCTATTTACCCATAGCTAGGGGGAGAAGAAGAGGATTCATACCTTTCCCAAGGGTATTAGCACGTAAGTGAATGTAATGGATTCGACTGGAATTTGAACTCAGCTCTTCATTCCTCAATCCAAGCCACTATCCATTACTCCACTATGTCTCCTACTACAATAATTACTACAATTAAAACAGTTCATTATAGATGATGAAATCCTATTGGCAAAAAATTAACTACGAAGTTCAACCCATGGTAGTTTGAAATAAACAAGACATTTAAGAGGACCAAATGTTTTAATACCATTAAACTTAGAAATTTTAGTCAAATGTTACTCAGAATAACACTTTCAGGGTAGCCATTTGCAAGGAAAATGTCAGTGATTGCCTGAGTTCAGCATCAAATTTACATTCCAAGCATATCACTAGTGCATGGTGGGTAAGAATTTTGATAAGATTAATCTTCCTAGATTTGGGGGCAAATAAATCCCAACTAAGATATAACCATTTAAAAGTGGGTTTTCTGTATATGCTGGTGATGAAAGATGTGGAAGGTTTCTCAACTAATACATCGAAGAAAGGCAACATATTTTCTCCTTCCATCGTAAAGGAAGGGTGGAAATTGTTTAAATGCTGAAAAAAAAAAAAAAATTTATTCACCTCACTGTGTGATGTAAAAGATGCAAAGTTATCAACATAACATTCCTAACAGTAGGATTTAGGAAGCTTATTAAACATTTGTTCCTCCTGGAACCCCACAAAAATATTAGCCATAAAAGGTCCATTGATACTCCATTGATTTGTTGATATTATTGAAACTGAACAAAATAGACTTAGTAGCCATCTCCGTCAGCTCAACAAAAATATTCTCTGAAAGGAAAGAGGTTTTAAGGGGCCTCAATATAAATAATTGGTGCAAATGTCAATAGTTTCATCTAAGGACACATTGGTGAACAGACTAGAAATATCAAGTGACACAAGATATTCGGTGTCAGTAGAAAAATGTAATTTACGTATATATGACGTAAATTGAAGGCAGTCAGGAATACAGTAGAATTCACAAATCTCTGAGCAAGATTATTTAGGTGAACTTTAATATAAGTGAACACTGAGGTCAGTGAGCAGTCACAGTGTTTCATGCAATCTTCAGGCCACAGACACACACACTGAAGTAACAATCTACACTGGGAAAGATTAAAACTTGGATGACAATTGATTATAATGACAATAGACCAATTCTTTTTACCGTGGCAGTGAGTTGGCAAGTATTGTTTTCATTGGAATCAAGTATATTAAAAACATGAGAGAGTGTGTGTGTGTGTGTGTGTGTGTGTGTGTGTGTGTGTGTGTGTGTGTGTGTATATATATATATATTACACACATACGCTTCTGAAAAGTAATTTCATATAACTTCTTATAACAAAATGAAATGCCTCACTAATATGTCTATTTTACTATCTTTCTTGTAAATTAAAAATTTGCTATTGCCATTATTCAAACATCTCAAGGTTAATTTTCAGCAAATCTATTCATATACAGTAATTTTAATACCAATTAGGAGCCTAAAAATAAAAAGATTTCATTTATTCTAGGTAAATTTCTAATCAAGAAATACTATGAAAATTAGATATATTTTGTGGGGTAACTGTTTGGTCAAGTTTCTTTTACAAAGCACACAAAGATATTTTTGTTTGGACACTAATTTCACTGAATGGTTACAAAAGGTGTTTGTTTTATAAAAGATATTCTCAGATAACACAAAAAAAGAAGAGCCATTTTTACCTTATGATGATCCCCTGCAATGTTCAACAGATTGAAAAGAGAGAAAGAAAAAAAAAAAAAAAAAAAAAAAAAAATGAAAATTTTAAATTTATACCTGGGTTATATAATTGCAGGCAGCTGATAATGGTTCAGATGACTTGAACTGATGTGTAACTGAAGAGCCATCCGGAAGACGAAACTGCAAACGTGATATTTCCCTGCACAAAACAGAATAAAACAACTCTGATAAAAAGCCAAATGCTAGTTATTCTTCCCTTTGACAAATCTAAAAAATTATGCAATTTTAAAAATTTTACTACATCAAGATTTTAAATAAAAATTCTTAAATCATTTTATGTAACACAAAGGACAATATTTCAAGTTATGAAAAGATTAATCAATTGTAGAATTTTTAACCTTTTCCTTGATTTTAGGACAAATCATAAGAAATAAATTGTTTCAAAAGAAGTGGGGGGGTAGGCACAAATTTTATTTTCTAGTATAAAAGGCAACTGACTCCTCAAAAATAAAATAGAGATACCAAAACTTAATTTCATGAAAATCTAAACATTTCTCATACGATGTTATCTGTCATATTTTGCTGAGATCTGTCAAACTGATCTTGAGTATTGTTCAGCATTTATAATATAGACCAAGGGTTGTCAACTAGTAAAAAATCCCTTCTCATGGTGAAATTTCAGAGTTTGAGGTGGGAGTGCAGGACAACTCAACATTATTGTCAATTTACTTTATTAAAAAATAAATTTCTTTATGATTTACTTAAAAAATAATTAACAAAAAACTGGTTCATATTTAAATAATGTCTTTTCAAATGCTATATTTAAAAGAAAAGTATCTAGTAATTAAAGTTTTAATCCTTAATTACTTTTATTTGGTTATAAAAAAAAAAAAAAGAAAAAATGTTTTTCTGGTCCAGAGTTGTCCTAGCGCTCAGTCAGCTGTGTTGAGTTGTCCTTTCCTGTCAGGGAATCTTTTTCTTTTATTTACAGAATTTTGTTTATTGAATTACAATACTCTTCATTCTATTGAACTTTTTGTTTATTAAAGTATGCAGTTTATTGATTTAATAATTAGTTATGAATTAAAACAAATTACTGTAATGTATTCAAGTTTTAAAATCCATCAACATTTTCTATTGCTATTAAATTTGTAAAACTCCCTATAAAAATAATCTGTATAAATGTGTAATATACAAAAGAATAAAGATTTTCAACAACATATGCATATTATTTTGAATGCACATTTTGAGTGGGACAATCTTGGATAGGAGGAATGACAATCCAACATATGGTGAAAAAGGTGGGTAAGAAAAGTTGAGAACCACTGAATAGACTCACATAGAACATATACTATATTTGTCCAGATTGTAGTTTAATCAAAGGAAACTTTCATTTAAAATCTATATATTTACAAGCTATTTATAAAAATGAACACAATGGTTATGTGTTTCTGTTATGATGTTGATTTGGGGTTAATAAGACAAACGCCAAATAACACGTAACAATAAAAAGGGGTTTATTCGGTTGGTAAGTAGGTACAGAAATCGCCTGAGTAGTCTATAACTAACTCAGCCAAGAACTTCTCCGACTGTCTTTTGACATGCCACTATTTAACGTCTTTGTTTGTAGACAAGTTCATCTTCAAGAGGGGTGGTAGGTTTCCTACACAACAGTTTCTCTGCACTTGCAGAGAATATAAGGTTGAATATTTATATCTAACAAAATAGGCAATGTAGTTAGGGACAAGGGACTTACCTTCTGGCAGCCTCTCTTTCTGCGGCAGACATTTCTTGTTCCCTTTGCTTACGTTCTCTGGCCTCTTGAGCGAGTCGATCCCTTTCTGCCTTTTCTCTTTCATATTTTGCCTTACGCTCCAATCTACATGAAACAAAGAAAAAAAATGAATATAGAAATGAATGAAGAATTTCCTACAGTGGCAAATAATTTACACCTTACTTTTTCAGTGAAATATGAAGATGGTATGTGTTTCTCAACATTTTCTCAATTTAATTATCTCCCAATTTTTTAGATAATGTTTTGGAATTAATATTATTATGACTAAACAGGTATTGTAGGTCCACAGAGTAAAATGAAACAAGGTTAAAATTAAATAAGAAATTAAATAATTATCCTAAGATTTAACAGTATAGTCCAGTAAGAGATAGAGTAACAGTCATCATTGAACCTAGTTAGATAAATCATTTTGCACCTGCAGTATGTGTTTTGTTATCCACAGTTGTGAAGAAGACTAGTCCAAGATAATGAATACTGTTAACACCATAATAAGAAATGTCATTTTGGTTAAGTTTTGTTGTTCCAACATATCTGAAGATAGTTGCAGGCAAGGATTTTCCAAAGAGTATTGGTAAGAAAAGAAATTAAAACAGAGAGCCTCAAGTCCCTTGAGAAAGTAGATAATAAAAAGCTGTGCTGTGTAAGAGACTGTAATGGACTCTATCCTGAACTGGCATCCTGACTTCAGCCACTTTCTCACCAATGTGACATGGCTTCCCACTGTCTTTTATACAAATATTCTCATGGCAACTGTTTTGAGGAGTTATAATTCTTTAGTGCCTCAACTGCATGAATTTAAGTGTGCTACTAGATTGGCAACTAGGTCTCACTATTTTACAGTTGAACTAGATAGATGCAACTGTCTCTTCTATTCTAACAGTTTCTTTTCTTGCACTCCTTGACTGTCAAACTTCATCCCATTTTTTTGTTTCCCTGCTACCTACAATCTTCAAAAATTTAAATGCAATGTCAATCATCATCTGTCTTCTTGAATCCAGTTCTTTTGTATTTTCCTCACTAAAGTCTTCTCATTTTCTTTACCACCACCATTGCCACCTGATTAATATCCACTGGTGGATTTATATTAGTGTCCGGTTGGCTATAATTTGGCAGTCATTAGAGGGCCCATTCAAATTAGGTATATTAGTTATATTCTCTTGTGTCATTTTTTTTGTTAACACTAGTAGTATTAGATGCAATAGTTTTCTCTATTTGTTATTTTTCAGATTATTTGGGGAAAATTCAAAGCAAATGGTCCTGCTTCTGGTTTGAGAAACTTGAGATTCATTTTCTTGTTAAATATTCTCAAATGAAGAGATGGAATTCAATACAAATTACAAACAGAAACTAACCTTGAATTAATAAGATTTTTGTAAAAGTTTGTAAATTTTAGTTTAAATTTGTGTCTGGTAATAATGGTGATATACCTAGTGACAATCAAGTTCATCACATGAGCAATAGTCTGTAAGCTTAACAAGCTTACAGACCATTGCTTTGTGGTTTCTATATCCTTCGTTCTATAGATGGTAGGTCTTGTCTATGTACTATTTTTTTGCAGATAATATATTTCTTTATCTGTATGAAGAATATTATACAAGGGAGAGATTATAGTTGTTACAACAAGAGAAAAGTGTATATTTTAAAGAGAGAAGACATCATAAATGTTTTTGGTCATAATGTGAATTTTTATATTTTATTTTCTATATAGGAAATAAAATATATTATATAAAAAATTCACATTATAACCAAAAACGTTTACAGCATCTTCTCTCTTTAATATAATAAATATACATTTCTTCCCCACCTCACTGGTAGCAAAACTGACAATGCATTGAGCAACATTTTATTAGCACCAACACTCAATGTGCAACACACACATATATATATATATATATATATATATATATATATAAACGATAAACGTGCAATCAATTTACAAATTCATGAATTATTCACACAAAAACAAATGCAAAGGTTAAGGATTTCTCGCCAATTAAAATTAACCTTTGCATTTGTTTTTTATGAATATATATATATATATATATATATATATATATATATATATATATATATATATATATACACACACAAGTAGAAAATGCAACTGAGTCTTTAAGAATATTTATTTAAAGTAACTTAACTGGTTTAACAGTTCTATGATTTTCAAAATTTAAATTGAGAGTGAGAAATATGAAAGAATAGAAATATTAAATATTAAATTACATCTAACTCACTCATTAGATGTAATTTAATATTTCTATTCTTTCATAGGAAAGAAGAGAAATATTAAATTGCATCTAACTCACTCATGTCTTCTCTCTCTGTAGTGAATGAGATAATCAAGTACCCCGGAAAAAAGTTCGTGTTTTGTGTGCGACAGCCAGGATAGGATGCTCCGTAATTTGCATATTAATACACTCTTATAGCGACTCCTGCGACGAACTTGTTTCTTTTTCGCTTGGGTTGACGAGGTAAGTCGCTATAAGAGTTTTGCTGACTACTTTTTGGCAATCCCTCCCCGGCAGATCGCACACAGAACAAGGCCGAAATAGCTTAAAGAGTAAGCGTTCTCAAAGCAAATTTGTGGCTTTCACCACACAAAGAAAGAAAATCACTTGTAACACGTCAGGAAAATTCGGGCAGTTTTGGCTACGGCGTTCGTGAGTTATTTTCCTGACGTGTTACAAGTGATTTTCTTTCTTTGTGTGGTGAAAGCCACAAATTTGCTTTGAGAACGCTTACTCTTCACTCTCCCTCCTCACTTCCTCAATTTACATATGCTTAATACGGCCCGTCAAAAATTCTTTTCATTTTTTGTTTCAACCTTTGGAAGTAAAGTCTGATGATCCGCAGTCCTTTAAAAGGGCTGGCTGTGGTGAAATAATTTATTACATGGAACCTTAAAGTGGTCTGTTTTTATTTAAATCATTTGCTCTGGATTTTATCCTCCTTGGGTCTACCCATACGGATTACCTAGTTTTTCATAAACTAACTATATATATATATATATATATATACACACACAATCATTTATACATAAAATTTCAGAGTATTTTAGTTATTAAACAAAGGTTTCAAAATTAATTTATGACAGAAATGCATAAAAAATGTCAGAAAAAAAGTAAAGTTGCCAGTGATCACTGACATGATGGGCTTATAGGTATAATAGATAAACATTTCTTATAAGATTGCAAAAAAAAAAAAAAAAAAAAAAAAAACATGTAGGAAGGGTGTATCAGCAATCAAGAATTAAGGCTAACATTATTGACAAGGCTATTCCATCTGTAATAGATAAACATTTATGAAAGAATTGCATTGTCAATAAAGAAGAAAGAGATTATCAAGAATTAGTAATCTTTAATAAGTGTCAGGTGTGCTCAGAGAGAAAAGAAGCAAATTTCCTTCTTTCATGAAAGTCAAAAGAATGGTGACAAAAATAGAGAAGATATTTGCTTTTTTTCTTCATCAGAAAACCCCTGATTAAGAACAATGAATGGACCAGCCAAAACATGTTAACAGCAAGTAATATGAAGATGAAGGTCTATTATCCAAATAATGGTGGGTTTGTTAATGACTCTTTTCTCAAAGTTATAAACAAAGATGTTAATTACTTGTCCCGTTCAATCTCATCCTTAATACGCTGCCTTGCTTTTCGGTCCTCTTCTTTTTGTTTCTTGATTTCCTCTTGAATGTCTTTGAAACTTTTCTCTTCCTGATGACGCCTAAATTTCTGGAGATCTTTACCAAGTCGCCTCCTATCAATCTCTTTGCTTTTCTCATCCTAGAAAGGATAAAATTATATTTTTTCATTAACACTATATAACAACAATAACATTTAAATGGAAAACACTTTTTTTAAGGAGAGAAATAACAAAGTTAATAGACTTGGGATCAGATTCTCGGACATTCCATTTCCAAACTAATTATTACTTTGTAACTAGTGATGCAATCCTTTTTGATACAGGTCTGTTTTCCTACTTGAAAAATACTGGAATCTTTTTCATTCTTCTTGCATCATAATAAAATTGACATATATTGCTATGTACTTTTCTTTTATTAGTATCTTCTTGGTTGGATAACTCCCAACATAAAAGTAGAAAATCTTGAACTAACATCCCATATCATAAGAACTCATCTCACATGGATGATGTTTTAACTAATTCAACTACAGATACCTATAGTGAGACAAAGATTAAATCTAGTCATATTGCAAATTGTTTCTGTTGGTTCTTCACATATTCTTTGTTTACTACCTAATAGTAGTAGTAGAAGAAATAGTTGACTTGTTTCTTATTTTAATTATTTTTTATCATTTGTTTTTTTTTTTTTTGGCTAGCCTTTTCTTGATCTTTATGTTGCTTTTTATCATAAACAATCATGTAAACATGAAGTAGCTTCCAACAAGATTTGATCTTGCACCCCAAATCCCAGAATTTCATCTTGCATGCTTTAAACAATTCAGCCATGCAAGCCTAATAATGAGACAAAGGTCAAGTCTATCATCATATTGCATCTTTCTTTTGGTTCTTTACATATTTTTGTTTACTACCATTAGTAATAGTAGAAGCAATGGTTGGTTGGTTTCTGATATAAAATATATATTTTTTTTGTAATTCATTTTTAGTTAATTTTCCTAATTTTTTTTTCATAATATTCTAGGTTGAATTCTTTTCATAAAACTTAAGCAGCATGAAGTAGGCATAAAAGAATTAACTTCCAACAAAAAACATCCCATATCCTGGGAACTCACATAGATAAGACTATGGCCATACAAAGGTTAAATCTGCAGCCATATGACAATGTCTTGTGGTTATTCACATATTGTTTACTACCTAATAGTAGTAGTAGAAGCAATAGTTGGTTGGGTTTTTGATATTAAGTGTTTTCATTAATAATTTTTGGCTGGTCTTAGTGTTGACTTTTCAATTTTCTCAGTCAAATACTCTCAAAGCATTGAACAAAAGTTGAATACTCTCTGACCTTTCATGCAAGCAGCATGAAGCAAGAATAAATTAGTATTTCCCAATGAAAATTGAATTCTCATCTCATATCCCAAGAACTCATCCTATATAGATAAACAAAAACAAAATCTATAGTCATATACCAACTTCTTCCTTCTGATTATTCACATATTCTTTGCTTACTCTCAAACAATATTAGCAGAAAGCACAATCTTAAGTTGGTCAAATTCTGATATTAAGTGCCGTAATTATTCATTTTAGCTGTTTTTTTTTCTTCACTTTAGTTTTTGTCTTTTATCAGTTTTCTCAGTAAAATACTCTCAAATCATTCAAGTAAGGTTGAATACTCTCTGGCCTTTAAAGTAAGCAACATAAAGCAAAAATAAAAAATTAGTTTTCAATAAAATTTGAATTCTCATCTCATCTTCCTGAAATTCATTTTACATAAGGGCTAAACAGGGCACAAATCTAGTCGTACTGCAACACTTTCAAGTCTTCACATTATATTATTTATAACATAAGGGTAGTAGTGAGCCTTAAGTTAGATGAATTACAAAATTAAATATTTTCATTGGGTCGTCATACCATATTGTTCGTTTATTTTTGTTCTACTTAGTAAATTATTTTAAAACCCGACATGAAGTATTTTCATTAATAATCCCTTATGGTTACAATAATAAAATAAATCCAAATCTATCCAAAAATTTAAAGTGAAAATACTGTCCAATTTCTTTGATCCAATACCCCTGGGACCAGCACACTGCCGGACCACAGAAAAACCCAGATGACAGAAATTACCCTAAAAAACCCTCATGTAAACATTCTTTCCCACTCATTCAATATATATATATATATATATATATATATATATATATAGGTGTGTTATCAAAGGTAGAACAAAATTTAGAACAGGAAATAAAACAATTATTAATGCTTCCAAACAAAGTTTATGGTTTTGTGCTATGATGATTGCAAGTCCCATAACCCATTAGGTTTGTGTGGAGGCACCACATGTACTGCAGCTGCAGCAGAAGTGGTGTGTCTAGAGCAAGATAGCCTGATCTCCAGGCTGGTTTGTATTCAATTTTTCCTTCTAGACTGGCTACCAACCAAGGTTATAAAACCCAGTCTGTCCTGCTATTTTACTCATAGCTGAGGGAGAAGAGATGGTGCATAGTGCATACCTTTCCCAAGGGTATTAGCACATAAGTGAATGTAATGAACTCCACCAGAATTCAAACACAGCCCTCTGATTCCTCAATCCCAGCCACTAACCATTATTCCATCACTCCTCCTTCATACAATACAAAGGCTACCAAAAAATAAATAAATAAAAAAGCCTAAAACCAAAAATTAATATATACTTACTATGTTCAATGTGAAACTATATATAAGAAATGAGAAAGATTGTATCACCAAAACACTCTGCTGCAGAAAGTTGTAAACAACTTGTGGTACCAATTATTAACTAACTAATGGCAGCCAATTCAAAAAGGTTCCAAATCACAAAGTGCCAGGTTAAAGAAATCAGACTGTGTTTCATTTTGGAAATCGCATCAGCTGATTATTCCTGTGTAATTGTACTTTATCATATAAACTCTTGAAATAATTATTAATGTTATAAAATGTTCTTAAGTGTTTTCAAAATATTCAACATTTAAAAAAAAATTGATTAAAAACAAATTATTGCTTTTAATCAATACTCAATTCTGTACATCAATTATCATGAGTGGGACATGTAGAAATTGCAGTGTATTTTTGCAATTCAGAAACATTAATTTGCATATTTTAATTATATATAAAAAAGAAATTATATCATCTAATTTGAATTATTATTAGATAAAGCATTGTCAACCATTTTTCTTTTGGATTAGAATTTCTTTCTGAAATTTCTGGGATGTAGAGTTATCATTATTTATAGCATGGTACAATAGCCTAGTTAGTTTGGTGACATAATAATTGTGAGATTCAGTTTCTGGGCAGAATGGTGCAGACTTAGACTCAGTAGAAATAAGAACAAGGCAAGATAGCTCTATATATGGTCAGTTTCCAAAAGAATGGCCTTGATGAAGAAATGAAGTTTTATCTAAAAAATTTGGATATCTTAAGACTTATGTCTACTTATTACTAGGACAGCAAAAATAAAATGAAAGAAAGACATGTCATTAATAACTAATAATGATTATTTCATCTAAGAAATTTAAACATCAATATAAAACATAACACTCTTGATCTTCCAGCTTTGTCAACATCATTAGCAGTGTGAAAAGAAAGAAAATTAAGCTAGAATAAAAAGGTGTATATATTTTTTTGTCATTTCACCAACCAAAAACCATCCATAATACATTTGCATATCTTCGTTTGTTTATGACAAATCTACAAGTAAATACTGCAGTTATCTTCCCTTACCAGCACAAAACTGGCTCCGGTAAGACATTGTCAACTGTGAAATTAAAACAGTTGCTCCGTGAAATGTTACTGATTTGTGAATATCTTTCGCTTCAGGTATTTACAAAATATAGCTTTTACTTAATTTACTACAAGACAAATAAATTAAAATACTATTCATAATCTTCATTTATCCCACTCATTGTGAGAATATTAATAAAATTCACTGTAAAAATGTTATTAACTTTACTTATAAATATTGTACTGTGTGTGAAATCTTGAAGACTTGGTTTTTTAGTACTGGCTAAGTTTCAGAATATACCATTATAAAATCACACACACAAATTAATGACAAAGTGGAAAATATTTTGTGTGATGCATTTTACCTTTTAGAAGAACTTTATTGGATTCACTAAAGTAATGTTTTGATTGATAAGATCTGAAAAGCAAAAGCAAAAGAATGAAATGCATGTACGTGTATGCTTAAATAATTAAATATTTTTCCCTTTTAAACATACATGCATTTCATTCTTTCACTTTTCAGATCTGATGAAGCCTTAAGTGGCAAAATGCATTATCAGATATATTTCTAAACAAATATACTTTCATGAATGTTTCCAACTATCAAAAATTCTTTAAATTTTGTCAGTATTATATATCCTAATTGTAACATACACACACAAATAGATTTAGATATTTATTACACACACTATTTTTCTTGGATTTTGTCCCTTCAGGATGTGGGCGATTATGGCTCTGCAACTTCCTATCAAAAACTTACTAAGGGGTACTAAGCTTTTAGTAAGGTTCATTGTTTCATTACCACTCTCAATCCGTTATAAAATCCAAAATGTGTCTGGTTCTCAAGTTTTTGGATGAGAGATTTATTACTGGGCATGTAAGTAATGATTTACAAGACTATCTCAGTGACCATCACTCCTACAATGAAGCACTCGTAGGGATTTACTAAGCTTACTTTAGTAGATGGACGCAAGTGTGGGGCACCCAATGAGGATCAAACTCACTACACAGACTAGCTTGTTATCCATTACACAACAGTAGAGTTCTCTAGCACATGGCTAAATCAATAAAATGGATACAGACCTCGTCTTCCTTTTGGGCCCGTTGTACTCTGCTTTGATCCATTTTTTCTTTTGCTCTGAAAAAATACAAGACAAGACAAACTATATATATATATATATATATATATATATATATATATATATATATATATATATATATATCTATCTATCTATCACAAACACATGCGGTGATAATGCCACTAAGATGAAAGGGACTACTGGGAGTGAAAACAAATGAAAAGATATTAGAAGGAACTAGAAACCCAATCCTAAACAGGGAACAAGGTATAAATTTCTAATCCTGTCCTAAAAGCTGGGAAGGAATGTGAAGTGAATGATAGGTGAACTTATATACTCCTGTTAAATTATATTAATAACAAGATGACCCTCTCCCTTTGGAAAATGAAAACATGTAGTAATATGAGATATAAACAGTAGAAAATTTGTAAAGTTGCATTTTTTCAAAATTCTTTTTCATTAGTTACTCATCGTTATGTGTTTATTTAAATTTTTATAATCTTGTAAATAAACATTTTTTTTTTAAATTGACACCAAAAGAAATTAAGCCCCATTTATTTTATGAGATTGTTTATTACTCATATTACTACTTATTTTCATTTTCCAAAGGGAGAAGGTCATCTAGCTATTAATATAGGAGCATATAAGTTTGCCTATCATCCAATTCACATTCCTTTCCAGTTTTTAGGACAGGATTAGAGATTTATACCTTGTTCCCTCTTTAGGATTGGGTTTCTAGTTCCTTCTAAACTCTTTTGTTTTCCCTCCCACTAGCCCCCTGCATCTTAGTGGCATTATCACCCTGTTTGGGGTAAATCAATATATATATATTATTAGGCAGCATATCTTCATTCAAACAGGTTTTATTGAATAATATTGACACATTGTGTCTACTTATTTTATACTATCCAAACTTTATTTTTATACTAATCCTTTCCTGTTATCTAATCAGTTTCTTGATGTTAAAATGAAATTCTTCAAGGAACCTACTGTAGTTTTTGTCAGCTCAAGTACTTTTGATCTTTTCCAAGATCATCTTCTGGGGTAAATTACAAAGACAAACTTATTGTAACTGCAATAAAATCTGCCTTCTGTTGTGATTGTCATTTTTTAAAAACACACGTGAACACACTTTGTAATTATTTTTACATTTTAAATTTATCTATTGTAGTTATGGAATTTTTTGCAAAAGAATCATTTCAATATAAAGGAGCCGACTGAAAATTGGTAGAAATGTAAAATGGCATTAAAAGGTTATATGCACGTTAATATGTTGTTGCTATATTTGTATCATAGTTACAATAAGTTTGTCTTTTTAACTTACCCCATCCTTGATGAATTTCATGTTAACATTAAGAAACTAATTAGAGAACTGGAAAGGATCAGTATAAAAATAAGTAGACACAATATGTCTATATTATTCAATGAAACATTTTATGTATAGAGAAAGCTATTGAGAAAGACAACTGAAAATAAGCATAATCTTAATTCTAGAAATGATGCTGTTAACATTTGCACTAGTAATTAAAGAAGTTAATTATTTTCCATAAGCTCTTGTGGGGAAAGGTCAAGATTTCAGTTGATTTTAAAAGCAGACAGGCACTCCCCATTTGAAAGATTGGTACAACAATCTTCCTAATCACTATTTGTATGCAAGTATATGAGCCACTTATACATTGAAATTCATTTTAGAAAGAACATTAAGAGTCTAATTAAAGAATTCAGTTCTATAAATTATAATTTCAAAATTACAGCACAATAAAATTTTGTAGAATTTATTTCAACTCAATTTTTCAGTTATTTTCTGAAATTCTCAGCTGGAGTCTAAAAATCTGCCATTCATTAATGTATTGAATATTGCTGCCACATCTGGTCTAGTGCTTCTGCTATGGTCCTGACCTGGCATCTTAGCTCCAGTCACTTTCCCCACCACTGTAATCTACCTGTGCCTTTTCTATAAAAAATTTCATGGTAATTGTTCTGATAAGCTTTCCACTGAGGTACCTAAACTTCATGAATTTAAGCATAACATTAGATTGGCAGTGAGGTCTCATCATTTTATAGTTGAAATGGCTATATAGAGTATAGTATGCCATGTATATTAGTAAAATCTAATAAGATGAGACTAAATTTTTCATCCATAAAATAATTGTTTATTCACTTCTGGGCTCTAGTCAAATTAATGCTGGATGCATCAAGAGTATGTGGTTTCAGGTCTTTCTTTGAACATTTGATCTTCTTACACAGATGTGAGGAAGCATGTCTTCTCCTCTTGTAAATCAGACATTTATATAAATTCATTTTATCTGTGTCTTGTGTACCCATCTAGGTACAGATCAGTGTTAAAGTTGCTTAACTTTGGTGATCATACAAGAACTGGTGTTTTAGCAAGATATGGCCATAAGATGTACCAAACTAATAAAAATTCAAAATAGTTGTACATGTTAGGAAAAAAAAACATTTTTACCTTTCAACCTTTGTTTCAAAATCCAAGCCAGTTTTATTTTCTGAAGACTCGGTACCTTCACTTGAAGCAGCAGCAGCTGCAGGAGTCTCATCATCTGCTGAGGAAGTTGAAGGAGCAGATTGCACATCCATTTCTGATGTGCTTGCAATGGGAGGCTCAGCTACAGCTTCAGCCTTGGGGCCATCATCTTGTATTCTTTCAGGTTCTTTCTGTTCAGACCCCTGTGGACTAGATGGAGGTGTCGGATCTGCCTGACTGACAGCCGGGTTAGCAGGGCATGCAGCTCCTGATGCCCCTACCATAGGCTGTGAATTAAGTGTCTGGTTTTCATGTTTCTGTGATTGGAAGAAAAAAAAAAAAAAAAAAAAAAATTAGATACTGATTTTTATGAGGATTAACTTTGAAAGCTTTTAACACATTTTTATCTACACAACAGATATTTACTTAAATAATTGGTAGACAGGGGTGTATCTATAGAAAATAGCACCTATGGCAAACACTGAAATTACATCTGTACCTAACATGATACTATACTTTTAAATGACTTTACTGTAATATCAACTCAAAAATTCAGGTTTAGCATTTTTTTTCTAGATCACTGAAAATGGCTATTGTGTGTTCTTTTTTAATTTAAAAAAAAAAAAAAAGAAAAAAAAAGCCTCTCTAATGAAAGTTTTTAGGTGGACTATGTTGTCTATGGTGCCTCTTATTTTGGAATCCACTCTGGTAATTAAACCATCAGTTAACCATTAAGGTACCAGTTCAGTCTTTTATTCATTATTCTTTCTAGGCTTTTGCATATGCAACTTGTTAATGTTATGTGTCGGAAGTTTTTTTGGTCTGATTTGTCTTTATCTGATTTTGGTATAGGGATCATGGTAGCTTGTTTCCAGCTATTCAGGAGTTTTCCCTTAAACCATATCTCGTTAAAGATGTTTAACAGATATTTTAAGGATTTTGAGGGGGAGTTGTTTAAAAAATTCATAATGAATTTCATCTGGACCAGTAGCTGTATTATGTGATTCACTTAAGTTCATTTAGGGTAAAAGGGTCATTGTAATCTTTGTTGTTCGAGTTAAAGTTCAGCTTATTTTTTTTCTGCATCATGCTTAACTTTTTGGAATTGCTGTTTGTAGTTTTCACTGGAGGAATTTTGTTTAAAGGTTTCAGCGAGTAGATTTGCTATGTGCTTTTTGTTTGTTATTTTTGTGTTATTTTGAAAAAGGTAATTTAGGAGGTGATAGATTTTTGCCAGCAATTTTCCTTATCATATTCCAGACATTTTTTTGGTTTGGTATGAGAGTTTATTTTATTAATGTAATCTCTCCATGATTTTCCTTTAGCTTCTTTGATTTTTCTGCGTGCTATTGCTCTATTTAGTTTGAATAGATTTTAATTATGGGTTGTAAATTGGGTATTAAATTATCGTAGTGATGTTCTATGTAATCTCATTGCCTTTTAGCAATTTGTCAAAACATGGTCTTTGATGTTTACTTGGTTTACTGCTTTTTGGTATACATTTTCTCACAATTACTATTACTGTTTCAATAGATTTTTTTTGTCGTCTTTGTAAATTTTTGACAGCATTGGTTTTTATAATTCCTTTCAATCTTTGTTTAGTTTCCATCAAGTGAGATTGTTTTTCAATTGGTTCTGAACTCTTCAGTACAATTGGGTAGTGATCACTGCCGCATGAATTGTTGATTACTTGCCAATTGTAATCCATAAAAATAGTACACAATGATAATAGCTGAGTATGTACCTGATGCAGGATGTAGATATGTATTAGACTTATCATTTAGTAAACATAAGTTATTTGTTATTAATTACATTTTCCAGGTTTTTTCCCCCTTTTTGACAGAGTTCTTGTTGGATCCCCATATAACATTGTGACAAAGTCACCTAATAATATGAATGGTTTTGGTAATTGTTCTATTAGTTTATTTAGATTAGTTTCTTTTATGAGGTGGGATGTAAATAGAGTAGATGTTAATGGTTTTATGTAGAGTAGTTTTTGTAGTAGCTGCTTGTAGATTGGTTTCTAGAAGTATTTTACTTTGGGGGAGAATGTCATTTCTGATTAGGATTGATATGTCCTCTGTTGATTGTCATGCATGTAGTTATATTGAGTATAGTTTTTTTATTTTTATTTTATTATTTGGTTTTAGGAAATTTTCTTGTAGGCAAATGATGGCAGCAAGTTGATTTCTTATGAATAGGAGTAGAGTTCATTTATATTTGCTTTTACATCTCAACAATTCCACTGGATAATTTTTTTGCATTATGTTTACGTATTAGGGTGTTATGAGTTTTTGCTTGTCCAGTTTATGTTTAGTGGGTGAAGTGTCCATAATTTCTATGCTTTCTGGTCTGTTAGCACTTTATTTCTGGTCATGTTTTGTTCTTTGAAAGTCTTTTGTTTCTGCATGTGTGATTGGTCTTGTTTGATTTGTTTTTCCATTAGGTTATTTTGGCAATCTTTGACCATTCCCTTATTTGAGGTGAGATAGAGTTTTGTTCATCTATGTCCATTTTTCTTGTTTCTTCAGCAATATACTGGGTTGTGTTATTTATTTTATGAACCTATTGATTCTCTTGTGAATGTTTGGAGGGTTCTATTTCTTGAAGGATTTTTGTACTTTGGATTAGGGTTTTCAGAGTAGTTTCTTTTGTAAGTAAGTCTTTCTTTCATGTTGTTTATTTGATTGATTTTTAGTATGTTTTCTGCATCTTTTATGGTTTTTATTTGAATTTGAAGTGTGTTATTTTTCTTTATTGATTTTGGTTCTGTCATGGCTGATGTGAACTTAATGTAAAAAAACCAATATTTAATAACAATAAGAACTTTTTAAACATGTACCCCTATGCTTCAATGACTGGCTGTTTCAAGCTATACACAATCTTCTTCAATTCCAACTGAAGACTTTGTATAGCATAAACTGCCAGTAGCAGAAGTATAGGGGTATGCATTTGAAGAGTTCTTATACATAATATATTCATTCATGTCAATAACACAATGCAAAATGTACATACCTTCAGTACTTCTTCAACCTTCTTCTGAAAGTCTTCTGGTGGTAAGTTACCAGCTATGACTTCAATAGGGACACCATTTAAACCAATGAAGAAGGTCGAGGGAACTACCACTACAGGGTCTAGTAATAGTGTCAAGGAGAACAAAATTGCTTGGCAAGGAATTGATAAAAAAAACTCTTCCCTAATATTTGCTTAAAAAGAAAATTTCAACATTATGTTATTCAAAAATTTTTAACTGCTCTATATAATATATTCAACGATGTGGTTTTATCACAGAGCTTAATGTTCTTTAGTTTTCATGTGGTGAAATGAAAGCAAAGCACATAAGAGGATTTAGGATAGGTATAAGGACTTCACTTTAACAAAGAAAACATAAAAAGTGACCAACTAGCTACAGTGGTTAGTGGAACTAAATAGAATCAAGAGGAATTAGAGAAGAGGAGATTATGTTTGTCTCTTAGTGTTCATCCGAGATGAAGTGAGTTCATTGTTTGACTGAAGAAGAAACCCTATCCCATATTCAACTTCTCATTCTGTCTTCAATCAACATTTTTAATAAAGCAAGAGAAATCACAATCAAAATGATAGAATACCAAGTTGTAATTTTTCTATGTCCTTACCTCTAGACTAGAGTCTCCAAACATTTTACACCATGTACTCTTGATACCATTAACTGAAGGTACCCTTGATCTCTCATTGTCCTCCAGGTATTTACAAACAAATAATAATTATAATAATTATTGAATTATATATATATAAAAAAAAAAAAAAAAAAACAGAACTGGTATTTTGGTAGAAATTTAATTAATGAATAGACTTCCAATGCATAAGTTATGTCTCCCAATAAAGTAAATATTAAATCATACTGTTAAATGCATAAAGGAAATTAAGCCATGAGTGCAAAGTGACTTTGAAAAGGGCATCAGGCAGGGAGAGCAAAGTGACTGCCAAAAGGACACCAATCAGCAGGAGTAAAGTGACAGTTAAATGCATTAAAGGACTGAATTAAGAAATTGAACAAAGTTTTTATGTGGCATTAATCAAATTTGAAATTGAAATAAAAGGATACAAATCTGGGAGAAATGTTGACACATATCACTGAAAAAAAAAAAAAAAAAAAAAAAATACACCATAAATAATATAGAATAAGTACAATGTATATGGACTGGACATTTTACAGAATATCCAAACAAATAATAAATAAGATCTGAAGAAATTTCTAGAAATTATAGCAATGCAACACTCAGCAACAATGAAACTCTCTACATAAACATCTGCAGGTCCATTATACTAATGATTGCTTTATGATAGCTGCAAAGATATGTATTAGGGCACACCAAAGTTACCACAATGTTAGGGAGATCTTAGAAGTTTCTAGATTTATTAAGTTCATTACTCTTCTATGTTTGTCAAAAACTGATTTTTAAAATGTTAGAGAAAAATCATAACCAAATATAAAATGTAGATGATTCACCACTGTTTACTGTACATGTTTAGTGTGGACAAATGACAGAAGTGAGGCAGTGGATGACTGAAGCTTAGAATAATGAGGAAACCATACCAGTACTTGATTTGATGAATTCTTTAAGGAACTAGATTGTCTTATTAAATTTAATGCAATATTTATCATCTACCAATTTATAAAGAAATAAATATGAAAACAATTATTTATTCATAAATTTATAAACATTTGCTAAATTATTAAAATGTATGAACTATAAGGAAATACTTATTTATCATTTTATAAAGTTCGAATTGATTGGTTTTTGCCCATCATTCTAATAAACAATAGTATAAAAATACTTAAAATACTAGCGGTGTCAAGAGAACAAAATAAAACATCTTTTTTGACAGTGTTTTTTTTGGGGGGGGTTGAGCAAGAAGGGTAAAAATTGCCAAAGTTTCTATGCAAAACAATGTTGTAAATAATTCTGATTTAAAAAAACAAAAAAAAAAAATTTTTTTTGTAATCACCATTTATACAAATGATTAACATACCTTGGAGACTGAATCTTTACTGCTACACAATTCTGACAAACTGCTGATACTGATTCATCATTCCAGGTGTCATCCATTTTTTGGGATAATTCATCATCAGCTAGATTTAAGAGAGAAAAGAAATGTCAATTTAAAAAAAAAAAAAAAAAAAAAGAAGAAAAGTTAATTTGTTTTTTCTATCTGCATTACAAAGACAATTGTATATCATAAGTCAACACCAGAATTTCTATTCCACGATCCACACACTAAGAACAAAGAAATTATACCACCTTTACTAAAATTTACAACCCAGTCAAATATTTAAAAAAAAAAAAAAAAAAAAAAAAAGGTTCAGGTTAAGGAGCACTTTTCAAAGTTATAAGCACCTTGCAAACATCACAACCAGAGACACAAGAGTGGTAAGAATAATGTTATGAAGGATTCAGAGACTCTGCAGTGTGTACAATATCAGGACAGTATTAAGAAGCCTATCTACCTTTTAAAAGATATCTGACCAGAGCCAAGCTACCATCAGAAGAGAACATGAACATATACTGCATATATAGCTTCTCATAAAGTGGTGCCAGAGAATATAAAAGGGAGACCAACCATCTTTTAAAAATAAGACTGGAAAAATACTAAAAAGTCATAGTTAATAAAGAGACTATGAAGTCATGCATGGTTGATCATATGTAAGTCACTAACACCTATGGAATGAAGTAGGAATAAATGGAAACAACCTTAGAGAATAGAAAATTTGAATCAGTACATGTATTGAGTTTTAATAATCTAACTGCTTCCTCAGTCAGCTGAATGTAGAATTGAGCACTACATAGCAACCTTTGAAAGAATGAACATCAGATTTAAGGTTCCAAATTATATCACCTAATTGTTCAAGGAGATAACAGCCTAAAGGATATAAGTATATGCTATTTACATGGTGGTTGTGAGCAAATATTAATATTTTCTGGTTTAGTGAAACAAACAAAAGTGGTGTCACAAGGATGAATTAAAAAGAATTTTTTTTTTTTTTTTAAATCATTTCACCCCAAGCAAGGTGGGAATGCCACTAGTACGCAGTAGTTTACAAAGAGTGAAAGTGAAAGAAAAGACTGGGTATGGGGGGGATTGAGAAAAGGATAAAAGATGAACAGGGTTCAAGACAACAAAAGTTGGTGATTGACATTGCATTTAGATTTTTGAAGATTGTAGTTATCAGGGAATCAAGTAAACGGAAGGGAGTTCCACTGTCAGGAAGTGTGAGAAAAGAAGCTGTTGGAGTAGAAGTGGCGGTTGCATTTAACTATTTCAACAGTAAAATGGCGGGACATAGATGCTAATCTAGTAACACACTTAAATTCATGTTGTTGGGGCACCAGGAAAAAAAAAAAAGCTCATCAGAGCAGTTGCGATGAAAATATTTGTAGAAAAAACACATTGAGGAGAAAGTGACTGGAGTCAAGATGTCAAGTCAGGATTGATTACATTGCAGATCCTTCCTTGTATTTTGTCAAGAATCCTTTATTTAACCTACATAACTAGATTGTACTCATCTTGTTCTTAATTAGTACTGATAAGTTATTGCTTACTCTTGTTTCCACAGAGTCTAAGCTTGAACTACAATTGCTAGGGACTAAACTCATAAACCAATGCCTTTTTTAATTTCTAGGCTCTTGTCCTATGCACCACCAGACATTATTCATGAGGGAGAAAAAAAAATTAGAAACTGTTCAAAAAAAAAAAAAAAAAAAAAAAAAAAAAGAATATACTCTAGGACTATAAAATCCAGACCAAGTCTGTAACTACCCCCCTCCAAAAAAAAAAACTATATATCTCCCTGGATCTAATAAGGAAAAGATTATTTACACAGACCAATGGGAAGATAAAGATGTGAAAAATTGGAAGAATACAAAGACTTTCCTTGGGGACTGAAAAAAAATATAGAACATGAAGGTTAGTGTCATAATAATTGAAGTACTTATGAGAGAGTGCTGAAAAGTGTCTGATTAAAAAAAAACGTAAAAAAAAACCCCACAGAATCAAAATTAAACAAATTAAAAATTCTGCAAAATAATTAAGACTGGTTAAGTCATTGCTGAAATCTGTGAGGCAATGGAGATTTGAGTAGACTATCTCCATTAATAACTACATCTGTCATGAACATGAAATGCCATTAAATTTCCTGCTAAAAATACTTATATGCCTTTCTATTTGAACTTGTACACTTGGTTGTTACTCATTTTGGCTAGGTCCTTTTTCAGGTCTTTGTCATCCTTAGTAATCTCAAAGTTATAAACAGAACACTTTATTCAATCAATGAAATGATTACTCCAATTCACTTTTATTGTTGTTGGTCTTCTTTCTATAATCATAAACAATGTTATTGCAAGAGATATAAATAACCTTTAAACAGTGAATTACATAGGTAAACATTGAAGCAGCTAGTATACTATTAAAACAAATACAGACATGACTGAAATTAAGCTTCAAATGAGGTTATCTTGCCAAAAGGTGTGCACAAAAAACTGATTATCAAATGTAGGCAATCTTCATTAAATATAACAATTTTTTTCATCTGTTTGAATTTTGATTTTGCCATTTTCCCCTTTTGTTTTGTATCTGTTGTCACTAATATAGAGAATTAGAGGGTTAGTTTAATGACAAAGTCAGCTGTGTTGCTCACTACTTTTTCTTAAACTCACAAAGAACAATTAAGTCACATCTGTTACTTATCACTTCTGTCCACAATGTAAAGGAAAGAAAGAAAATAGAGAAACAATCTATTTTTGAATGAAAAACATAATTCATAAATAATTTTTAGAAAATATTTGTAAATGCCCACTGGTCAGTAACAACAAAAATCTATGAAAGGACTTTTACCAAGAAAAATCTTTTAGATATAATGCATTAAAAATTTTAAACCATGACTATATCAGGTTTTGTTTTGTTTAGGTTATTAAATGCTGGATTCTGTTTTGATAATAGATGAGTGCAGTTTGCATAAGAATCAAAAACAAGTTTATCCCCTCTGCAGAAGTAATGCAATCAGCATATTCTTGACCCCAACCAATGAGTCAAGAATATATATCAGAAAATAATGATCATTTATGACAATTAATTCATACCTGAACAAGCTTGATACAATTCACTATCAGGGACCATGACCTGTCCTAGGAGCTTTTAAAACACGTGGAAAGCCTGTATGTTGAAACCTTCAAAATGCCTCCGACATTAAGATGGCAGAAATTAGCCCTACAATACTATACCAAAGTACAATCATGTTCAAATAACCCTGCATTTAACAGTGTCCCTCCCAAACTAGAATGTAAAGATTTATTGGACAAAAAACAAATTTGCCAAACACCCTAAAACTAATGCCATCCATTTTTAGAAGAAATTGATATTTTACAGGAATACCCAAAACACACACACATATATATATATATATATATATATATAAATTTCTCAGAATTAACCTGCAGAAAAAGACAATATATATATATATATTAAGGAAAAAGACAATACGAAAACTATAGTTTCAGCCAACATGTTTCATCCAATGTGGACTTTTTCAAGGCAAAATCTAAATTTATTGAAACAAAGTAACTATAAACAACAAACAAAATGTCGTTAGCAACTAGAAGAATTTAGAAATGATATTGTATATTCATATGATCAACTGAGAAATTACGTCAATTACTTTATGTTTGAAGAGAACATTTTCACATGTAAAAGTATTGTTTGTATTGTTGTGTTGACAGATTCAACTATTTTCTTTTAATTTGTTTATATATTTGTTGTGTACATTGATCTTGGGAGAGTAAGGATTCTGTTAAGAAAGGTTATACTGGGGGAAAAAAGCCAGGCATAGATTAATATTTGGATAAAATTTAATGGTGGCACTCTCGAGGATTTTCCTTTTGAGTGAATTATTATTTTTCTTTTTTGGAGTGTAGCATTTATAAAATCAAAATTGTGGCTGAATTTATTTCTATGTATGACTAGTGCATTTGTTAAATTGTTATTCATGAGGTCTTTTTTGTGCCCATAGATGCATTTTTAAAAATTTCTGCATGTTTCTCTAATGCATTGTGAGGAACAGTTTTGGCAACTTACTTTATACATACTTGCTTCAGAAATCTTATTGCTATGGGTTTTTGAGGATCTGATCATATCCATAATGGTTTTGGAAGTGTTTGTGATTATTTAGAGGGCATAGATTGTCCTGGATAGTGGACATGACGGAGTTGGTTGGTAGTATTATGTGTCTGTTCTCATATAATTTATTATTACGGATGATGTTATTTTTGTTGCAGTTGTGTATTTTGTATGCCTTTCTTCTTGCGTTGGGGATGAAATTATATGAATATTGTAGGTTTTTGAATGCATTTTCTATGTATGTTTTTTCTTTAGGTAAATATTGGGGGCTACAGATTCTTAATTATAGCAGTAAATAACTCCATTTTAGAGGCATAATTGGAAAGTGATGGAACAGCCCAAAAGATTTTTTTTTGTTTTTTTAATAAGCCATATAATAAAATCTTTTCAGCATTAAATAACAGAGCTGATATGCCACTAAAATGGAAATTTGAAGAAGTATTTAAAAAAAAAAAAAAATTGACCAGCTATTTATGTAGCATAGGATAGTTTTGACACCAGGGCACAAGTATTGAGTTCTCAGTGAGAATTGAACTTATGAGACATTAGTACTGATATGTAAAAACAGCTTACTAAGTATCACAAACTTGGTTACTCATAACAAAATATAAAGAATGTAGTAAATCTGAACCCTGCTTATTGGTTAGCTTTCCTAGACACCCAGAAATAGGGGATGTGAATTTAAATCTTGTTCAAAACGTATTCAATTTTCAATTAATACTGATTATGGTTGGAGGAAAAAAACAAATGTAAGATTAAAAAAAAATTCTCTGAATTTCTGGGATGCAGACCTCTGTCCTCATCTTCCTTTTTTCACATTTCAACCACAGAGACCGCTAGCCTTTTTAGGTGTTTGTTAATCCTGGTAATTTGAGGAATTTGAAAGGGCTCAGTTCAAAATTCCCTGAAGATTACCCAAACCAAGAAGCACCTAATTAAGGCCAGTTAATGACAAAACTTCAT